GCCCCTTGCAGCCCCGCTGGCTCTCCCGGGGGGCCCAGCCCTGCCCACAGCCCAGCTCAGAAGCAGCCTGCTCCGGCCCGTGCGGCGGAGGCGCTGCGCGACTTGCGCCTACCTGCGCGTACAGCTCCTCTGCGGCCATGGCGAAGGGGGCTGGGAGCGGGGCCAGGCCTGCAGCGGCGCTGCCCAGGGTGCTTATGGGCGGCTGGAGCCCGCCTGCACCTGGGATCAATCGCCAATTAACCGCCCCGGGGGGCCTGCTCCGTGCGCCCAGCAACCGCGGGGATGGGCTCTGCAGGGCCCAGGCATCGTGGCTGGGGGAGGGTGCAGGGCCCGGTAGGGGCATCGCGGCCAGGAGTCCTGCGCTGCCAAGGTGCCATGAGCACATGCCCAGGCCTCGGCCCACGTCTGGCCTCCGCTGGTGCCAGATGCAGGTGGGGAGACTCCAGCAGCAGAGGCTGCCCTTGGGGTCTGATTCCAGTGATTTGCATCCCTGGATCTTTCATTGGCAACTGAGGCAGGGCCCCTTGCGCCGGCTGCTGCACAGACCAGAGAACCCCAGGCAGCTAGTCCTGCACCAGGCCCGGTGCAAGAGCTGGAGGAAGCAAACCCGGCGGGTGGGCAGGGTTCCCTGTAATCCAGGTGCTTGTGCATCCGCTCAGGAGATTCCAATACTGCCCAGCTGATGAGCACAGCACCCACAGCCAGGTTTGGGTTTCTGCTGGTGGTGCACATGTGCTCATGACTTGGTGCATGTACAATTTATTCCACACCTGGGTAGAAAAGAGTAGAGGGAACATTGGGTGTGGGGCTCCCAGGCCAACAAGGCAGAATGGGAATTATTAGCCGCAGAGCAGCCTGCCCCTGACCACAGGTGAAAACAAGGGGAGGCCTGAGGGGTTAGCTGGCAGCAAGGGGAATGCAGTCAAGGCGCATGTTCAGGGGGTGTCATCACAGAGGATGGCTCTCAGGGCAGAAGGAAGCACAAGGCCAGCCTAGCTGATCTGAGCCCTTCGCAGCCTGTACTGTAACTCACTCTGGGAGACAGAGCAGGGCTGTTATTGCCAGGGCACAGAGGGGAAACTGAGGCACCGAGCAGCTAAGTGACTTCCCCAACGGCACACAAGGAGTTGGGCTTGCCCCCAGGTCATCCAAGTCCTAGGATCTGCCTTACCACGGGGCTGGCCTTCTGCTCAATGCAAAACTGCTCTTAGCACTGCCATAATAACAACAACGTGGCCCCACTTCCACCTGATTTTGGAGAACTAGGTGGCCTTGTGCTGAGTGAGTGTCACCCGCAGAACACTGTTGTCATTTACAGGAACGATCCTGATGCCTCCAGCCCAGCTAGGGGCAGCTGAGGCTAGCGATTGGGCTGCACGAGCATCCCTCCTTCATCTCCATGGGCCTCAAGATTGTTATTACCAAGACGGTCTCCCGGCCCAGGGTGGTTTTGCCAATGGTGCTAGCGTAGCTAGAATTGGCAGGCGGGGCTGATTGGTAGGGTTACTAGATGGTTTTAAAAAAATACTGGACACACTTAATCTCAG